TCATCATCATCATCATCATCATCATCATCATCATCATCATCATCATCCTTTCGGTTCATCCGTATGAGGTCGGGTTTCGGTGTTGGTTTTCCCTGTTTGGGAGGGTGACGGGAACTGTTTGGAAAAATCTGACGGGGGGGTGAGAACATGTGAGAACTACACAAGAAGACGAAGGAAGAACCAAATGATGAAGATGAAGAAGAAGATGATGATGATGATGACGATGATGTGCGAGTCGAGGTGGGGTGGGAAGCTCTTGGTGTAGAGTATGCAGTGGATCTATAGAAGATAGCTATAGGCTATATAGGGTTTACCTTGCATGGCTGAACAATGTCAATCATTGGCACAGGGTTAGCGCCCTGTTCCGTCAACTTCGTGGTGAATCTATCAGACTTGTGACATCCCGCAATCCGATCACCTCTGGCAGCCTCGATGCCCTAGGGTTCGAATCACGATTTACTAGACGGTACCGCAGAACAATTGTTTTACTAAGGGTTTGGCACTACAAAACCAGGTCAACCGTTTATAATTAAGATTGTCCTACATCAAAGAATCAAAGAGATCTAGAAAGGCAAAGGTCGCCTGCCAAAAACAGACCTACAAGGGAGGTCTGTTGGGTTCCCAGTCTGTGCGTTCGGCCGGTCGTCCGGCAGAAGAAAGATGTCCCGAGTCCGTCGGGACGTCCATCGGGTCCAACAGCCGACCCGTCACCGGGCACCATGCACCTCCCGTCGCATCACAAAGGCATGGAACGGGTCCCACCAGAGGCAGTTCCGATCGTGGAAGTGCACCAGCGGACTCAAGCCGCGCCTCGCGCTTTTCTCGCGAGTATCGGCGAGTGGGGTCGGTGCAGTCAACCCCGGTGGAAGCGGAACACGGCACCATCTGGGGCACCGTCAAGGTGCTAAGGATGAAATCATCTGCTTCGGTCACTTCTGTCACTTCTGTGCGTTTTTCCTGTCAGTGGTTGGGAAGTTTGTAGACATCATGATATATTCCAAAGCCAGCGGGCTGGGCTCAAAGCCAACATGACGTTGTGAATCCCGAAAACGTCTATTCTATACCTCTCTCCAAACTGGCAAGGCCTATGTCAACGGCTTGACATGGCTTGGCACTCCATGGCTTGCCATGGTTCAGACAAGAATCCAAAGTGTTTGATATTAACTATAATGCTACTTGGGTGGAGGCCAGACATCTGACTGAGCGCACCTCGGGACACCCGACTGGCGCGCACCTTCCGCGTCTTCAGCGACGTTCGGCTTCGGTGTCTTCCGTGAATCCAACGGCCAAGTGACACCACCTTCCGGTACTCCACCGAAGACAACTGAAACTTCTTGGTGGCAAAAAGCCAGCCGATGTGGGCATGCCAGAATCCTAGCCAGCCAGCCAGCAAATGAAGCGTTTCTGAAATCCTTATGCAAGGAGCAACCCCAGGTCTTAGACATGCCAAAGCAACATCATCTCCAATCTCCTTAGCAAGGTTGCATTCTTTGTTTGGGGATTGACCGCTAGACAAGACGTATCAGGTCGATGTACCACCTCGGACCTCCACTCGTCAGCTTGTGGATGACCCGACTTCAGGAGTTGGGTGGGGGCACTCCCAACCATTCCAAACTACTAGAACAATCACGCAACATCTGACAGACATATACATAACATACATAACATACATCTGACCTCATATGACGTCATATCATATGACATAATATCACATCGTGATTATCACGACATATCATGACATATCATACGCAGCGGTTTTCAAACACTGACACAACATGTGACATGTTGTGGTCAGTATATGTCATTATAGACATTGGTGTTCTTGCAACATATATTTGATAACCATGGATGGTTGTGGGAACTGGGAACCCTGATCCAAACAGAAACACCAAACGGAGACGACCCGAACGGAGACGCACCCCACCCCACTGTAGCACTGTCTCCGACCAGCGCGGTCCGCGTCCTAAGGAGCGGTTGTGTGGGTCCCAGTAGGTATCACTGGCCACGTGGTGCATGGCATGGGTCAAGGCCCATCCTTCGATCGGCCCCTGGTCCGCAATGGAAAACATCACCATCAGCAAGGTCCTAGCAGCCCCGAGCAGGTCTTGAGGTGCGTGATGGAATCTGTGCGCTGCTGTGTGCTGAACAACTCTGAACAGCGTCGAAGGTTTCAGGTTGCTTCGAAACGTCAGGAATCATTCAATCAAAATAAGAATGTCAAGGATGTCGAAGGTTGGATTTGTCCAAAGCTCGAGCCATATCTTTCAGGCTGGTTGAACCTTGTCAACACGAAGTGGCCAACAAAGAATCCACACTGGAACTCCAGTAGAAAGGGGTGGCTTATATTCCACGCGCCCTACCCTGGAGGAAGGAGGCATCCAGGACTTGGCAACCTTGGCACTGCATGCGCAGCGGAGCAAAGTGTGAGAGAGAGGGAGTGCGTGAGTGATAGCAACAAGCCCTGAGCCAAGCGTTTAGTTGGCGTTTGGGAGGGCTAAAGCCAATCCAGTTGTTTCTTCCGTTTCCCCCCTTCACCCGTGAGTCCATGGCCGGAAATCTGTTCGCCACCTGCCCTCCTCGAAGCGTGGAGGCGGCCGAGTGCGCGTGGAGGCCGAGCGTCTCCAGTATCGTGCTGGCTTTGTAGCTGTGATGCGTCCAGTAACGATGCGCCCCGGCCGTGACGCCCAAGCCACTGATGGGCCACAGCAGTAAAGCCAGCAGTCCAGTCTTGGAGCTGACACGGCCTCTCAAACCTGAGGTGGGAGGCAGAATTTGAGGCAAATACCACAGTTGGCAAGCAGTGCTGGAGGTTTCATGAAGGACACAAGCAAGCAAAGAAGCAACTCGCCATAACTCAATGGCAAGCTTTCTTCAGATTGTTTCGTGTCGTTCCCAGCGTGAATTACATGTTCAATCTACTGGCTACTGCTCGTCATCGTTTCCGGCCCCCATAGCTTCCCTCTCGAGCACTAAGACGGCGCTCCATCTTTCAAGCTGTGAGCTGTCTTGGTGAAGACCTATGACAAGAACCACTGGGAGGCCAGGCATAAGCTAAGACCGTAGAGAGCCAGAACATGCCGCAAGGGAATGCCAATCGCTTGTGCCAGAATCCGGTTCGACCACATCCTGTGCACATATCGCCTGAGACGGCGGGAGAACAGCAAGTTCCATGCCTGTATACCTCGAGGCCCCAGTCCTGTTCACTCAGATGAGAACAAACTCCAGTTTCTGTCCAAGTGACATTACATGGAAAAAGGATGAAAAAGGCATGGTCTGAAAGGGACATGACGCAACAATGCCCCCCCAAAAAAGGCTTCATACGGGATCACAATTACCAGGATATATGAAATGTCCCACACTATGGTATCAACTTGGGAACTTCTCAGTCTCCTGACCATGTAGACTCTTGATGAATAATTACCCCTGATCTTCCGTCCACTCCACAAAAAGCCAAGAGTCCAGGATCTCTTCCAAAGACTGGGCGCCTCGCGCACCTTCGGCGCACGTGCGCCATGGGCCGTGCCATGGGCCAACTCCCGCTTTGCCGGAGCGGCAAGGTGCACAGCATCTGGCACGGCAGGCACAGGGCAAGCGTCGGAGGCCGTCATCTTCAACAGCTGAGGGCCAAATAAAGCGGACAAAAAGGCACCAGCAAATGATGGAACACTCACTTGGAGTCCGTGTTGTCCTGGAGACCTGGGGAGTGTGCTGAGATGTTCGGTTTTTCACAGCTGAGGACTTGCTCTAGACCAGGCGATGGCCGAGTGATCTCGTTGGAGGGGCCCCACGCGACCCGCGCCGACCCGATCTGACAGGGGGATGCCTATCGATTGATGGGCAGGTGGAGACCCAAACGCTCCATCTCCCACACATGTCCAATTCAATGACGTTTTACCCCACCTGGGGAGCATAATCCACCACGACAGCTTCGGGGTAAACAGAGTCAAACTTGGCGCTCGAGCCCTACTGCTTTGGCTGGGATGGTGTGGAGCGTCCTATGTTGCTGGAGCTTCTGAGGCCCTTTTCTGTTACAACGACCGGTTGACCCTCCTTTTTGTGGTCCACTGCGGCCATAGCAAACCCACCTGCTCGGCGTTCTTCTTTCACATGATCTTCCTCTTCCACGTGCTATGTTTTGGGGAGCACATACCCAAATGCGCACCATCAACATACACTTTCTGACTGTTCTGTCATGGAGACGTGTGAGGCGTCCCCAAATATACAGATGATCTTTAAAAAAGAATATATATATATATAACATATATATAAAGATGAAAAACAAATCCCAAAGAAGTAAGCTTTGAAGCAGGGTTACGTCGTTATGTTGTTTTCCGGAGCCACCAGAACGAGTATTCTCTCATGCTCTATCTCAGCTCGAAGGGGATCTGGGCCAAGAGTATGATTCGTGAACGCGAGGCTGCCCCACAGTGACCTCAGGCCATGGATCTGGCCTCTGGCCTCTGGATGTGGTCCAAACTGGAGATCAATGTAAGACTGTTGATTCATAGCGCCACCCTGGGATTTTGGGACATCAACCGTCCTACATGGATGTCTCCCCATCTGGTGCTTGGCGCCATGGATGTGGGGGTTCCCTCCCCAAGTGGCTCTGCTGAAGGGCCCACCTCTTCGGACCATCCGCCGGCCCTGGCGGTCGAGTGCGCTTGGACGAGGGGGTGGAAGGAGTCCACCATGGTACTGGCTGTCTTAGAGTAGATTGAGAGGACCAATGGCACAGACCCCAAGAGGTGGTTTAAATGAAGCCCCATAAAAATAGGACATCTTGAGGTCTGTGCCATCTACTCTGAAACCACTGTAATTGATCCTACGGTCCTACGCTATAGTGGATGGCTAAAGGTCATGACTCACGGGTGCTTTTGGAACATTGGTCATCCCGAAAAGGAGCCAACACTTCGGGGGGATGATCAACCTGGAGCCCTCAGTTGGACCTAAATTGTCAAAAAGGGGTCACAAGCCCAGCCAGTTCACAGACGGGATTCCAATTCACATTTCTCTGGCCTGGTGACCAGGAATTGCTAAGTAACTGGTCTGGGGCACAGGTTTTTCAGAGTCCCATAGCCCATAGCCAGCTCGAGCCAACTGATTAGAGATCAAGCGATTTGCCTGGAACATGCCAGATTCTCACACATGTCCACAACATCAGCCCCAAACATTATTGGCTGAGCATCCGTGTCCCGAACATTCGATGCTCAACTGTGTTGAGGCTCAAATAGACTTTTATATATATATATATGTCAAACTATGTTTGATATTGTTTGATTATGTTTGGTTCATTCTGCCTCCCTCAAGTATTTTCATGCCGACTCACTCGCGGCGGAATGACACTCCCTCCCGCCTGATCTGGGAGAACCTCAGCCACCCAACTTTGGAGGGATTACAGTGGTTTCGGAGTAGATGGCACTGGCACCCCAAGATGTCTTAGACAGATGGGGGTCCATCTGCATCACCGAACTGGGTGGATTGCGCCATCTACTCAGTACAACCACTGTAGGTACCACCGTCGACCCAGAAGACGAGTCCGCGCGTTGAGAGAACGGTCTCCACTCCGGGTGTCTCACCCGTGGAGTGCACACATGTCCCATTTGGGCCAACCGAAAGTAGCAAACGAGGCCTGCTCTCTGGTGATGTTTGTAGGGGAGGCATCAGGAGCCTTTGTCAAGCCAATCTAACTGACTCAACTTGAAAAAGAAGACACGAGGGGTCCCTAAATCCCTTGCAAAGTGCTTGAAGAAGCCCTTGCCTCAAGCGCTGAAAGTGTAAACCAGTCCAGACCGGCTCTGGAGGGCCGGCGGGCGGAAGGCGAAGATCGAGTTCGCGTGCGCGTCCGTGCAGTCTTTCGCGAAAGGGCACCAGGTCACCTGGTGAGTTAGACACCCTACGTCGCCCAAAGGCTCCATGGGACTGCCATAGGACTGCCGAGAAACGGCCACGGGTGGTGCCAGGGGGGTCAATGTAGGCATGTATGGCAGTCCCATGGAGTGCATGGGCTAGCATGATATCATCGCGTCTGTCTATCCTACTACCTGTAACAGTGGATGATGATGGCTAGATGGCAGGCCTACATAGTACAAAAATGATGATTTGCTTGTTTACTGACTGTTACAGGTAATAGGGCAAAACCTAAAAATATACTGTACATTATAATTACATTATCATACCACCCCAAAAAAGTGTGAACATGGATGAACATGGTAGAGATTTGGCATGATGTTGCGTCGTCCCTGCAGCCGGGGGGTCATGGCTCATGTAACTCCAGGAACATTCTGAAGCTGCTTTGTGGCACAAGAATCGAAAGATTAAGCAAAGATGGTTGGTGGACCAGAACGGTTAAAGGGATGTTGTCCATCAATGTCCCCTAAGGTAGTTAGATATATATATATATAGTTGGTTTCAATATCCCCTCGCAAGAAGTGAGCAGCCCTGTGCCCTGACAACCTGATTCAATATGGTCACCGCGGCCCTAAGCCAGCCACTGTTCATGCAGAATCTGGCAGGTGAAATCCTGCCACGCAGGGCGCAACGCGCAGCGCGCAGCCGTTGTGGCACTTGAGTCGTGCCCCACACACTCCACACATTATATGCCCAAACTTTTCCTACTACATTCGGATGGTTTGGGGAATCAGAGTAGGCATATGGCATACGTAGTCTGGGACTAAGCCTGGGATATGTATTGAAATGTTCGATTTCGACGTCCTCTCCATGTGTCCTCCAATGTCCTCCACGTTTTGTCAACATGACCTGCTGTTACCTCCCAGTGTCGCGTTTTCTGGCGTTTTCGACCGGGAACTCCTTGATCTCATCGCAGATTTGTCGAGACCTCAGAGCTGTCAGAGCTGTCATAGCTGCAAAGGCTTGACCGGTCCGGACAGCTGAAACCACCGAAAACGCCGCCAGTTTTACGGTGGTGTCCCGGTCCTTTCGAGTAGGAAGCGGGCCCCCGGGGAGAGAAACCCGAAGAACAGCTGGGCACTACTGCTTCAAATTTCCATAGCGACACCTTCACACCTCACCTATCCTCACCTTCAGTCGGCATGACTGGCCTTTCTACAAGTGATCCAACTCAGACTCTTCATAGATCCAGAAGCCCCAACAGGGCACGGCATACCATCGTATGTGCGACAAAGCCATGAACGTTTGAATCGCACTAATTAGTAGGCCAAACAAAGCCAAAGGAGCCAAAGGCTCCAGGTGCGGTTGAACGGTTTCAAGTCCAACCAGCGGGAACCGCCGCGCGCGGAACCGCCGCGCGGCTCGCGCGCCTGGCTTAGAGACCAATTTTTGAGGTCCGGACTCTGGCTCCTCCTTCAGCACTTGATCCGGCTTGGTCTGGAACTGGGTCTGGAAAACCTGCTTGTGCACCTGACAGGCAACGAACCCTGACAGGCACCTGAGCTCAAAAAAGCTCAGAAGAAGGTGATCTTGCTTGGCGTCAAGTCTCACGCCAAGAAGTGGAGGAGGGCATGAAAGGAGCGAGTCTGGAAATGTCTGGAGAATGGCCTGACTCAGTGCAGCACTAAACAGACTTGGTCCTTCAGCCTCGATTATCTCTATTCACTGGTGCTTTGAAGGAAGTGTCAAACATTGAGGCACACCCAGACCGTCTCTTGGCGAGATTCGCTGGGATCGGAGTCAAAAGTTTCTCACGCCCGAGAAGCCCCCTGCGAGCACCCAAAAACACACGTTCTCGCCCCCAGCAGCTCTCCATCAATAGTGGATTGAGAGTAGATGGCACCATCTCCCCAATGTCGGTGCTTTATAACTTATGGACCCCCCATAAGTTCAGGACATCCTGCGGGAAACGTGCCAATCGAACCTCCGAAGCCACTGATCTACTCGGCACCGCGAGGTGAAACACCGATCTGCTCCGGCACTGGCACTGGGCCAGCCCGACGGTTCGTTGAAAGACCTTCGCCAGAGCCTGAAGCGCAGCGTTGCCTATCGCGGGTAGGACCTTTTGTGTTGAACGCATTGGAAACCCAGAATCCTCAGACTTCAAACGTTCCTGGATGTGATGTGCTTTATTGGTAATGGAGGATAGGCCCGGGGTAGGTCCACAGGTCCACGACCGGTTTTAGGGAGTGCTGCAACTAAATGATTCAGAGTATGGTGCAATTGATAATTGGAAGACTATGTGGAACTAGGCTTGCCCAATGGCCTGCCACGAGTATTATAGAGTCACCAGGGATGTCCATCACACACAACAACCTAAGCCCCAAATCTGGTGTTGAACACTACCCAGCCCCAGCGAACCTGAACTTTGTATCAGCTCCACACAGCACCTCTCAGTGAACAAATGTTCATTTTCTATGGTATATTATATTATAGGAGGATAGCCAGGATAGCCAAGCGGCAGCAGCACATGACTTTTGAACTTTGTGTGAGCCAAACATTGCATGCGCAGCTTTTAAGAAAACAACATCCAGGGCCAAGGCCTCCCTGTATTTGCTGCATTTGTCCTTGTTATCAACCGGAAGTCTATGACGTTTCTATCACAGTGGATACGAAAACAAACCGATCCACTGTGTTGCAACGCCTGGTGGCGCACAAACGTGCGCTCGTGCGCGCTTGCGCACACGCGCACACCTGGATGTTGTAGAGGACCCGTTCCACCAGCAGTTCGGCCACATCCAGTGGATCAAAATCACCATCATTCTTACCAGCATTCTTCATCCTGCAGGCTTCAAAGTCACTTTTCTTGGACACCGGAGGCTGCGCTCATCGGTTGGCAATATCTGGCCCCTTCAGTGATGTGGTAGACCCGTATTGACTGTTATCAGCCTTGCAAGTTAGCGCGGCAGGTGGGTTGATTGTGCCATATATGATCATAGATACTTCATGATACTTCCGGCACATCGCAGATTTCCATGCAAATTGTTATAGCAGGTGCATGTAGGCATGTACAGGGCAATTTGCAAGTCACTTCCATTACCCTTCATTCCTTGAAGAAGACTGAGACTCCTGTGAAAGCGGATTTTTCGGGCCTCTATGTCTTGGAAGCTAGAATCTCATGCACACAACTGTCCAATACAAATTGCACATGTATATGTATGTATATATATATATATGTGTGTGTATATATATGTATATATATGTGTGTGTGTGTGTGTCATAATGTAATTAAATGTATGTATACTATATATGCACCGATCATGTACCTATAAATACGGTGAGGAACATCGATTTTTCCCCCGACATGTCCTGTTCATGTGGCTCTCAAAGACCTTCTTTCGGATCTTCAGCACCACCAAACCTCGGATCATCGGTGCGGCGGCGGCGCAAAGCACCCCGTCCCTGCGGACTGGGAGGGTGTTTCACCGGCAGCAAGGTCCGTTCGAGCGACATCACGTCCCATGATTCGCCTCAGGTCCCATGTGGGCAAAAAGTCATTCGTCATCTACCCCCAATGCAAAACGCAAAAATAAGGGAACCATTGGTGCCCTCTGTCTCTTGACTTTGTCCAACAGCTTGTGCCAGAAGCATTGATTCAGTGATGCCTCCGGCTATATAGTTATATCTTTTGCCGGACTTTCCAGGGCTTGGCATTGAGACGCCTGCCATGGACCCCACTTTTGTCAGGATTTATCCAGGGCGTTGTAGCCTTCGGTTGGGAATTGTGTGAAAAAGGTTATTGGACAAGAAACTAGACCCTACTTACTTTCAGGGGCGGGTTTTAACACCTATATATATATAGTCCAGATTCAAAAATGCAAGACTACGATTAAGCCATCTGCACGATTTATATGAACAAGCACAACCAAAACATATGACTAATATATAATAAATATATATATATATTATATATATTTAATGTATCATGTTTCAAACTCAGTTTCACTATAATAATCCTACAATATCCTACAACATCCCGGCATATATAATATATATATATATATGTGTGTGTGTGTGCATGTGTGCGTGCAAAAGAACAGGCTTAGGATATCCAAAACTACAAAAGAGTAGTCTAACTTTGGTCGCATGATGTCGCAGGTGACTTATCCTTTATTAATGTCCGTTTAAGACATATTTCTGACCAGGTCTACCGTAGTTGTCTTAATATAAAGTTCAGCCGTTTCGCTTTGTTCGCCAACAGCTGCATCACTGAATTCAATCCAACGCGGATCAATTGCTTCTACTTCAGATTCATACTACCCTTCAGGTGATATGCGCAAACACTTGGCGTTTGGTCCCCAACGCCTCTAAATGGGTCCCCCGAAACGCTTCACCGAACGATGTCGGCGACCACTGAGGTCTCCAGACTGAAGTGGGGCGTCTGAGCGGCCTCCAGGACGCTCGCCAAGATGTTGGCCAGCACCTGGAGCCAAGCGAACTCGGCCATGTGCAGCGCCGGGGACGGGACTGGGCGGAAACGTGAACGGTGGGACCGCCCAAGAAGGCGTTAAGCCGCCGGAGCGAAGCGGGACGCTTCGGGATGGGGGCTGACTGTGGCAGTCACTGGTGCATGTTCTGCGTCACACATGGGAGGGTCACGTGGAAATGCAGAAGCTGCAAAGCCCAATTTTTACAAGACACCTCATTCCAAGCACAAAGAGATGCACCAAATTGGTCACTCTTTGGACAGGGTGCAGGGCAAACCTATCTGAGGTTTGTAGGAAAGCTTAGCCGCGACCAGCCGCGACCCGTCCCGGCTCCGCCGGGCTCCGGGCTATGGAGGCGATCGGAGTGCAGAATTTCGGACTGGGCGGCGGGTTCCGGTGTGGACCCCGCACGGAGGGACGGGGATGGCCACCACGGCTTGGATAGAAATTAGCTATGAGGCTCCACATGCCAGGGAATCCTCGTGGTTTTTGCGACAGGAAGAGGGAGACCAGAAGTGTCCACAACCATGAATATAGTTGCGGAGAACGCTAAGGCAAAGTTGCACTGCATGGTCATAATCTTTGTGTGTTTAACTTTAATCATGTCAAGTAACGACTTCATAGACTATCCCAGCCTGTTCGTTGGGCCTTGCACTGGTGAGTCCTTGTCTTCTCTGCTTTTTTGGGGGGGGCTGTTGGTCAAAACCAGGATACCTTGGTCGACCATGGTTAACCTACCTGGAAGGTCAAGCTACAGCTACATGGTGTTTCCGGCTCATCTGCACAGCTTTTGATCCCTCAGTGCCCAGCTCTGATTGCTCGATGCCTTTGGCCTAGGTCGGCTATCTGGATCCAAGGGTTCGGCCAACCACAACTACATCTTTATACTGCACCATACTGCAAAATGAATTGAACTGGGTAGCAGTAGGTCCTCTTTAAGCCAAGTGTCGGACATGGCTGATATGTAATTATTTGGTAGTTTGAAATTCGGACTGTGAACTGGACCACTGGTCCGTCGCATCCTGGTCGGTATTTGTCTTCTCCATCTGGGACGCCAGCAGAAATATCTCGTCCATACTAGCACATGGGTTAAGCAGTCACCCGGCTGCATGGAAACGCAGCATTAGTGAGAAGTCATCTGGCTTGGATTGTGGAAAGTCCCCCATCTTATATAACTATATCACAACACCATGGAAATGCTTTTCGGAAGCATGTTCATTTGCAAAAAACTGTAGTACATCAAGGATTTCCTGCCCAAGAAAAGCAAATCCAAAGACCAAGCATGACTAAAAGGTTTATGTCATATGTGTCAAAATTTGTAGCCTTGGAGGGGCTGAAAGCCAATGAGAATGCCACTTTTGTGTCTGGCACCGAATGAACGCATGGAAACAGTATGGAAACCCTGCATCCGGACGACTTTGACACAAAACCAGACAACTTAGACGACTTAGACTTAGCGCAAGTACACGGTATGAATTTGTGATGCCGCGATGCCCTCTCGTGGCATGAAAGTGGGACCTATATACACAACCATAGCAACTCACAACCGTGACCAACCATTTCCTACGGCCCGTCCGACGGGAGCCGACTGGTGCATCCTAAGGCCGCTCTCACTGGTTCGGCGAACAAATGAAGCAAATACTGCTGGGCACACACCATGGCAAATCCCTTCAGGTAGCATTACATATTTGGTTGAGATCAGGACCTGATTCCCTGCTGGCTGCACCTTTTTACGATCCAAATTAGGTGATATTGACCATGAAGTGTTGAATTGTTCGTTCTCAATACAACCTCAAGGTTGCTTGGAGAAGTCTGAGGGACCACCCCACACTGGTCCGTCTGAGGGTCTTTGACCGTCAGCCGAGTGAGCGCCACCCGGTCCGTCAGCCGAGGCGCCGCCGGAGAAGCACGCAGGGCCTTGAAGCAGGACCTTGGTACGGAAGGAATGCTGTTTGATCGAAGAATTTCCAAACCAAACACCTGAGCCAAACGAAGTCATGACCATGTCCAGCAGAAGTGGCCCATGGGCATCATGGGTTCCGTGGAGGACGACTTCCACGGAACCGTGGTTGGATAGAGGGTTGAGAGCTGTGGAGTTTCAAGGTGTGCTGTTTCTTGGAAATTGGACGACCGGCGACACATCCTCAGAAGGTAGTTAGACCCCCAAAACCTACCCCAACCACCTTCTCAGGAGGTGGTTGGAGCCCTAGGGCGCATTCCAGTTCCGAATTGCGGGGGCACCGAGCTTTGAAAGACAAGCCATCGACACAAAACCGGGATCTCTGGCGACGTGACCGTCCAAAAAGGTGGTTGTGCACACATTCGGACGTGCGCGCCACACGAGTAAACTGAGTATTCTGTGGATGGCATGTTGACCTCTTGGAAGGTGGGTATATAATAGTTTGCTTCCCTGTGAAAAGCAGGGGGGTGGTCACTCCACTTCATATATCTTCCATCAAATGCGTGCGTCATGTCGTGGGGGTTTCTCGTCTTTTGGTCGTGGGAGGGCTGACCTCAGGCCCCCGGGCACGAGCAACATTTTGAAATCCTTGGCCCGCTCGTCTTCGAAGATCTGCCGCACCTCAGGAACATCTTCCGACGAAGCTCTGAGACGATCGGGACCGCCCGAACGCCGAAGAATCCGTTGACCAGGGAATCCAAATTCGGAGAAACGACCCTTGATCAGGTTGGCCACCTCTATACAGATTGCAGGTCAATGAGGAGGTTGGTTCAAGAGTTCTCACAAAGATGTGTCAAGAAACACGAAGGGCAGCAACTTCCAAAGTCTTTGCTGTTGAAGGCCACACGGAACAGAGTCCCATCTCCACAACCCCCTGAGGCTGGGCCTGCCCCGTAAAAACGCCAGCATCACTGGCAGCTGGAGCGGCAAAAAACAAAAGAAAACGGTCAGCCGACTTCAACAGGTAGCGAAGCACCCCTCAGGACAACTCATATACTATGAGAAATGACATATCACCACATGCATCCACATGCATAATCCATCATAATCCGTGACAGCGACCCTTTTAAAAAGGACCTTGAGAAGAGTCTTGCCATGTCTTGCCGGTCTTACTCTCCACCTCAAAAGCTTCCTCCAACTGATTGTAGTCTCTGGTAGGCATCTTGGGGAGTCCATCTTTGGGATGTCTGGGGTGTAAAGGTGTTGATGCATTGAAACCCATCCAGCCTCCAAAACATGTTCCACATGCACCAGTCCAATGTCCAACGTCTGAAAGCTGTGCCAAGCTGGCGGTGATCACCTCAGGCTCAAGCGAAGTTGCGGATGAATTTCGGGATGCACCCCGCATAAACGTCCTGCAAAGAAGCTAAGTGGTTTCCTTCCCGTGGCTTGCCTGGAATCCAACCTTGAGCTGGCCTGGCTGCTTGCCACCTCCTTTTTCAAACCGGAACCTGACCCGAGCCGACGGAACGCCTTCGCCGGGCCCGGAGCCGAGCCGACCTGTCCGGTGGACCACGTCGGACCGACGGACCTCCACCGTGAAGGACAGGGCTTGGTCTTCCGGTCAGGGCACTGGGTCTATCATGGTCTGTCATCCGGGCCATGATGCCAATTTTTCAACAGGTGAAAATGAGAGGCCGGCGCCTTTTCGGACATCCTGCAGCTGCAAGCCTGGCATGAAAATGATGCTCAAGACAATTCCACCCACCAATTGTTTGGCACCTCGATCCCCTCGTTCTATGGCGATGTCAGAGCACCGGAGGCTTCGCATGGCTCCCCCCCCCGTCCACCGTCCTTCTCCCGTTCACTGCTGCGACTGTCCTGGCTCTGAAAGAGGTGTCAGGGATGGGCCACATGAACTGAGAGGACTGTCAAATGACCCCGGATCCGAGAACGCAGAATTGGAACATAAATGTGAAAATGATTCCTACACTCTTGCATCAAACACACGCACATGCTTTTTTTGAGGCCCTCTTGCGTTCATGGCACTCGTGCTGACGGCAGGCTGGCATCCAACTTGACACATGAAGAGATAACACCTGCACCTCCAGCGGCACGTTACGCAACTCAATGGAGCCCGCTCTCCTAATGGATCAATCTTGATAGCGCTGGAGCAACTGACCCATCATCCAGGACTCTGTCCCAAACACTTCATGTATGCTATACATGCCAACAATGACTCCCCAAACTACCCGAATCTACAGGGAACGATGATCCACTATGGCAGTCCCATGGAGTGTCTGGGCATATTGGTCACCCTTTCCCGTCCCAACACCTCTACGCAACTTCTTTGAAAGGCCAAGAGCTCAGTCTGGAAGTTCAGGTAGCGGTTCTTCTCGCTCCCTGACACAGTCCACCCGACGCACAGGAAGAGATGCGAAGCGGCAGGAACGCGCGTGTCGGCGGCAAAGCGATTTCCTCTTCCTGTGCATCATAATCCTTCCGGTTGAACTCAATCAATGTGCAAACAGTCACGAACAAAAGTCATGAAGTGTCACCTGTCACCCTGCACAAAAGCCAGCACCTGGTGGTGCAGGTCGATCGGCAAAGGCCTTCTGAACCAGCTCCTGAGTGAGCTGCGACAATTCTTGAGCCAAGTAGTGAGGTATCGGAGGAAGCCACCATTTTTCTGAATCAAAGGCCACCGGCGATAGACCTAGCCCTGGAGCCTGGAGTGCAAACTTGGGTTGAGCCAATCATGGAAGCCCTCGCTTCCCTTCCCTACGGCCCGACCCGACCCACCTCGCTTGCCTCGGGCCCTCGCCTCGCGCCCCGCCTGGTACTCGAACCAATGCGTCACAAAGACTCCAGTGACCACGTTCAAATCCTGCTCGCTGGTCCTGCGACGGGAAGGACTGCGGCGCCCACACCGTGCAGGGCACGGCGCAGGGGCGCCGGAGTGGCGTGGAGGCCAAGCCGCCGTCTCTGGGGGAGTGAGCTCTGGAACACCGGGTGCGTCTCCGGCTTTTCAGCGGAATGGAGAAGGAGATCATCCATTGTGAATCCATCGTCAAGCACGAGAAATTCCCGAACTCCAGTTGCGGCAGATTCCGTCATGGAGCCTAGACAAGAATAAATAATTATAAGGCAACTTTCCTTCACAAAAGCCTTTGTGATGCCCGGGTGAATCATGAATCCGAACTCCAACCCAATTCCCATGCGTTTCATTCCATCCAGGCCGTCCTACCTCACCCACATAGTTCGAACTCTACTTGACTTCGCCCATCTGACTCACAAAGTTGACACCCCTGAAGACCTCCACTGATCATGCTCCAGCACCCAAGGGGCGAACGCCCACGAGCACGTGCTCCGCGGCGGTTGAACACCACGTCGGACCCCACCACGCTTGCCCGGTCCCTGCGATCCGCGGCGATTCTCCGTCCTGGGATGAAGGGATGAAGGCGACCCACAGCCCGCTGGTGGGCCGGTGGGCCATGCCCCAGGGCTTTCCGGCCCAATTCTCAAAGAATTTGGCAATGGGGACTACGACTATACGATACAAAACAAAAACATATCAGGGTTCGAAGTCGTTTCTGTTTGCCTGTAGGCTCCGGCATTTTTCAGGACCCGTTTGGGGCTCCCATCATGAACTGTATGGCCGCTTTGTACCAGGACCACAGGGATACATAGGGGCCTCCACACCCCATACAAAATACTCCACGTGGCTACAAGGACCCCAGCCAAAGCCAGCCAACGCGTACACTGCGTACACAGCATGATTTGATGAGTCCTCTTTCGGCACAACATCTCCAACTCTTGAACCTTTCTAACTCCACAAGTATGTCTCTGCTTTCCCTTATCAAGAACACTGCCACTGACAGGAACTTCAAGTGTTGATCGGATTCAATCATAAACAACAATCCTGGACTAGATAGCATGTGATTAACAGATTAGCATGATGGCTTCATTTGTCTTTCCAACAGAAGCGGCCTTGCAAGGAAAGTCATTACTTCGGCCACTGGACAGTACGACAACCTCGTCCTCAACTATCCATCTGAAACCGAAAAAGGTAGACCCTGGAATCCTGCAAAGCCCAGTCCAGTCGCAATGATATTTGTTATGGGAATTCTCCAGTTTCGATTCATCGAACCTCAGTTGATAAAAACACTCTCTCAGGCTCGGATGGGGCCACCGTGCGAGGGCTCCTTCTTCATCATGGTGTATTTGATGATCATCGAGACCAGGGATGTCTCATCCTGGCTGAAACATACTGCTGAGAACTCCGGAACATGTCGGCCTCCTGGGAAGAATGCAAATGGATGGTGATCTGATCATGATCATCAGCCAGCCCCTCTTGCAAGTTAAAAATACTATATGGAGCACCACACACACAAAATACGTGAGGCCTTTTTCACATGCGCCGCATCATGCCACCACAGTGCAGCGTTTCAACTGCCCAATCCCCCAGGTCCGTCCCATCAAGCGACCGGAGAACCGAACCCGAAAACGGCCGAGAGCGTACCGATGGAATCGAAAAGCGAAAAACGGGTTCACTGATTTAAAGGTTCAGTGGGACTGGAATAGACATTGAAGGTTCAGTGGACTGGTTCAATGTTCACTGATCCCAAAGACGACCGGTGGAACTGGACATTGACCGCTGAAACCACCCCAATGTAATCAACCAGGCTGGATGTCTGTCAGCGGCTGGAACCACTATCGGACACCGGTTGCCCAAGAAATCGTCGGTACTTGGATACGCTGGAGTCTATGTTGAGGGCTGATGTTATATTCCAAACAATTATGGATATAAGTTGATATAAGTTAATTAGCCTTCACTGCTGGCAAGCTTACATTGAACATCAGCAATCAATTTTTTGGTCTTTTCCCAGGGCCGTTGGAGCTTTCCAGAGGAGCTGTATCATCCGGAAGAAGTTGACAACCTTGGAGATTCCGCCTCTGGATTGAGGATGGGGAACGCAATGCCATCCACAAAGGCTGCATGCGTAGCCAGCCTAGGTGTGCAAGGACTGATGGTTTCAGCTGAGCATCCAAAGAAAACTACCCCCACAACAAAAAATAGCGCTGGAGGATTCGGGTATTGTCTTGCCACATCTGGCATGACCAGCAATGACTTGACTAGCCAAATGATAAGCATGTGCAGAGAATGGCTTGGCCATTGGGGCCAGGCATTCCCAGGCATTCCCAGGCTGCTTTCTCATTCTAATTCACATGCACCTGCGCTCATGGGCCATGGTCATCCATGCTCCATAGATGTCCATAGCATGACCCCCTTGGACCCCTTTGGCCCCGCCTTTGGCCCCGCCTTTGGCCCCGCCACCGGTCTCGCCCAGGGTGGCACGGGCGGCCCCGGCTGGGTGATGAGGAAGGTCGCGTGGGACTTCGCCGGATGAAAGAGCTCCGAGATATTCCGCGCCTCACTCGATCCGGTCGATGAGACGGTCCAAGTGGGGGAGGACATGGTGGAGCCAATCAAAACAATTATATTTTACTACCCTTAGGTTACTGAATGGCTACTGAATTGAACAACATCCGTGATGGCCTAATCCTGGGCATAGGGCATTTTGTTCCTTGAACTTACTGGATTTCCATGATTTCCAGGTGCCAATTCTCGACCAGCACCGCATCTGCGAAGCTTTATGCCGGAACTCTGGCCTGTTCCACCTCCGACTGTGCGATCAGCTGCAGCCTGAAACAAGCGGATTTGGGCAACATGAGGGGTGGATAGGTGTTCTGCTTTGGGAGGTTCCATCCATCTCACGCATATCGATTACATTAAGATGATTCAGTCTCAGTACGTACTGCACATGGGGAAGAATTGTCCCAAGAGAATATGCAAAGCATGAACATCATCCAATTGCAAACCCGTGCCAAAACGCCCAAAGGCCGAGTTCTAAAAAGGCACAGGCCCAAGTCGAGGGGTGGTCTCGATGTAAATTGTTTTTTTATAGCTGTATATAGAATAGAATGAGTTTGCAGAATCTGAAGTCATTTCTGGAAGGAATTGAATCAGTTCCTGCAATATGCTTGCGGCAATGCGAAACCTCCTCAACAACCCAAAACTGACTCAACACCAAAATGCCATAAATGAATGGCCATACTGGGCCATACTTGCCAACAAATCACAACGAAACCATTTCCAAACGAAGGGCTTCTAATCCTTAGCTTTGCCAAAAAAACATCCGCAGTATGCATGGAACGCCTCACGGACCTTCACCGGACGTTGGACCTCGGTCTCAGCACCCCTTCCGAGCACCCCTGGCGTGGACTTGCAGAGATGCAGCGTGCCTCGGGGCGGCTAGAGCCGCTCGAGCCGCCCGACGGTACGAAGGAAATGGGCCAAAAGAACTGCCAAAAGATTATTGGTCTTTGCCCTAGGCTTCCAACAACCATGGATCTAAAATGATCTAAAGGATTTTTTCGGACAACCATGGTTTTACTGAGGATTTTTTGCACCACAGCAGCAGGTCACAGCAACAGGTCAACCTTTCAGGCCTTTGGAAGGCTACAACATGAGCCTAAGGCTCAACCATCCCAGCTAGTTGGGTGTTTTGAGGTGTAGGGGCGCTCCGCTCACGTTTCACACGCGAGTGCTAAAGACGTGAGAGGTAGTAAGGACTGGGATATTTGTGTAGAAATGGATAACTTCTCTTTGTCCAGTGACGACTTCTTGCCATACTCCTTGAGTTTCATTCAAACTCACCAATTCTGCTCGAGCTCGAGCTTGCGCTCGCTCCGATGATTCCGAAGAAGCAATCTGGTCCTCCGGCGTGGCTGAAAGAGGTCGTGGAAGATGCGTTGGCACATCTTCCGGAAAATCTGATGCTCGCTATCCTGGCACATCGAGGAGCATTCGGATTCGTGGACAGCTTGGAGGAGGGGCGGGAACGGCTGCCTAGGGTCTAATAGTCTAAGGCTTTGGGAGGCTGAAATTCAATGAAATTCATGCATGAGGTGACCGCCCAAGAAAAATGGGTGCGGGGGCATCAACAACTACTACAACGGGATTGCGGCACAATGTCCGAAGAGGAACCAAACACTTGTTGGGAATAAGGCCTGTGCCCACACCACTTAGGATCTTTTAGGCAATCTTCTAGAAAGGAGCTTGCTACCAACCCCTCTGAAGTGGAACAAGCACACTGAAGCAGCCAAACCAAGGAAAGAAAAACGCTTAGTAAATAGGGTTGCCAGCCCAATGGTTGGTTGCGTGGCTTCCAGTATAGTCGGAAACGTTCAACGATCCCCAATACAGCAACACCAGAGCTGTTTGAAAGCATGATTGTCATTATCCATAAACATTCTTGACTTGGACGCTGCTTGACTTCCGGGCAGCCCCCAAAACAGAGTGAGGCATGTGAGGCAGATTTGAAGACTCACCCGTCAGCACACCCGTCAGGGACGGCCCACATGCCTCACGGGGCCCATCCCACCCACAACGGCAAAGGTCCAATCCCACCCTGACCTGCACGTTGTTCTTCCTCAAGGCAGCGCTCAAGCGGGCCATGTAAAGCGGCTGCTGCTGAAGGATCCACAGCAGCTCCTGCGAACAGCTGGTGGGCCCAACTTGAACTTAGAGTGGTCCACAAATCACACATTAAGACTGTTTTGGAAGGGAGCTCCTTTTCTATACATCTACCGATACATCTATCTAATTACTAATCTAATTACCTATCTAATTGCCTATCTATCTGTCTGTCTGTCTGTCTGTCTGTCTGTCTGTCTGTCTGTCGATCTATCTATCTGTCTATCTATCTATCTATCTTTCTTTCTTTGAGAGTCACTACAACCATTTACCTTTTCCCTCGGTAGGAATGAGCATAGTAACAGCTCTTGGATGTCCAAAAGCGCATCCATCCCTGCCAACTAGGCAGCGTGCAAGGAACACTGATGTACGGACTGGAGAACAATGGGGAACATCGATGAGACGCCCGGTTTTCTCCCCGGTGACCTGACCTAGCGAATTGTGGAACTTAGAGATCTTTGAGGTGGGAAAATCACAGGAATTGGGGTAATTGGGGTGTGCTTGGATTGGCCGTCTAAGACCCTGGGACAATGGCCGCAACGCCGAACCACCTGGTGAAAACTACTACAGTCCGGAACCTGTATGCCAACAGAGTGCTGGTGAGTCCCAATCGGTGCGGCAACGTCTTCCTCAAACTTGAGCAGCTTCTTCTTGATGTCCACATCGGTCTTGACCTTGGAAACACATTGCCCCAAATGAGAGGGAACCCGAGGAAGGGCACTGCAGCATTCAGAGCAACAAAATAGTATGCTGGACTGATATGGATCTCTTGTGAGGAATCACCATTTGGACATTGAAGATTTTGGGTGGCACACTTGAAGGAGAGAAGGTTAGGCAGGTGACATGTGAATCATGTGCTGGATTGCAAAATGCTTAAGAATGAATGGCCGGTCGTGAAAAATCATGTCGGTCTCGCCGCCCAAAATCGAACACTCACATGACTGGTTGACATCCTAACCTTCAAAGCTTTCCCACATTTGTGCGGATGGGTTGGGGCTGTCCCCAGCCAAAAGAATCGGTGGTATTCTTCAGTCGTCAGCTGCCTGGAAATGCTTTCAACCAATCGCTGCACAGCCGTTCCTAGAATGTCTAAACCTCCCCCGCCTAGTTTCATGGATGACCCTGATGACCCAAAGCCTCCAACGAGAGTGGAATGTGTCCAACTATCTCCAGGACGGGTGCCAGGACCATTGAATCATCAGTACATTCTCTTGGCCCCTTATGAAACTGAGAAAACCGATTCGTTGAGGGCATCCAAGTGAGCCTCCAATTGCTCCATCAGCCTTACAACCATCGACTCGATTCCAAATGTCAGCTCCCTGGAGGCTACATTGACATGTCTCTCCTGAAGTCCTGAAGCCTACAGAACATCATCGGTGAGTAAGGGATCTGGTTGGTGATTTCAACTCACGAACGCCAAAATAGGTGTCAGTGGGTTCAATCGTGCCAAGAAAAGGCCACCGGAAAGGCCACGCAGTCTGTGGAATGTTGGAAGCACTGGCCTGGTGACGCCAGGAATGAGCTGCAGTACGACCTCCATGCTGTAGACTGTTGACTGATCAAACGCCCTCATGTGCAAAGGTGTCACACCCCAAATGGTGGGGGTGCAGATGGTCTTATGAATGTCTGCCATACATCGAGCAAAATCCAGACACACTCCCATCTCCGGAGCTCCCGGACCCACATAAGCTTCTCCATCTGCGGCCCATCACCACTGCCGGACATGTTGAGGGCCTCGCATTCGGATCGCGAGCGCGGTTGTGGGCTTGGTGGGAGGCATGGGTGCGAAGGACGAGTCGGGTCTCGGGGTTGAAGGTTCAGCTGCACCTTGTGATGGGATGCCGCGCACGGCTACAGTATATATAGTAGATGGAATCCGCGGCATCCCATCACCCGGAAACAATGAAGTTTCTTTCCTCAAGGGATGGTTGAAGGAGGATGTCTCGGGTTCAGATTGTCCCCATTCCTCAACCGGCCAACCTGGTCGGATCATGACCCCTGAGGACCCGCCCCCAAACCCCTGACAACCTATGGATGTGACCCTTTGTTGGCACCCATGGAAGTGTTTCAGAGGCATCTCATTTGGAGCATGTCCTTTCACACCAAACGACTAGTAAAGCCTAAAAGCTCATGTCATCACTCTCGGAAGTCCTCCGGACTCCTCTCGACTCTGATCTCACCGGTCTGCAGAGAGAGATCACGGCGGAGACCCTGTGGGGTTCCCCCCCAATCTGGTGAACCCGGCGTGCAAGGTTCGCACATACTCCACCTCAATCTCCTTCCTCAACTGCCGCAGCCTCACAAAGGCCACCGAAAGGACCAAAAGATGGACAGAACCGCTGGTTTGATGAACAGAATGCTGCTCTTCATTGAGAAGATCCGGAGAACTGAAAACTGAATACCTCATTTGAATGTGAATATATACACAAATTGCTGATTGTGAATTGTGACATATACTTATACGTGCCACAAAAAATACAACAAACCCGTTTGCATTGGGGAGCGCGGTTTCCGCGGTTTGCGCCCCAGTAAAGCAATGCTTCAGAAACGGCACTCTCTTCAGGGATGAGGGAACATCCCAGATTCCTCCAGCAGCCGCTCACCAACAGGAAGACCAGAAGTTGAACTGCTTCGAGTTTAAGAGAGGAGCTCACAGTTGACTGCGAGGGGGCGCCCGAACTCGAATAGCGCCAGTCAAAGAGCTGGATCACACAATGAACATCAAGGAACATCAAATATAGCTGCTGTCAATGCGCTTGGACCATTCTTGCCTCCTTTCATGACGAGTGCAGCCTCCTTTCATGGCCAAAAGCGGGCGCGCCCTCTTTGATGGCCATTGCTCCATGACTCCCACTGATTGGCACATCTCTTCACGGCGTCTTCGGACCGATCCGACGTATGCCTTCACGATCCGAGCACCCGGGCGTGTATTCGGTGAGGTCGGTCCCTGGGAGAGTCCGGTCACTTTCCGCGGAGCGCCGGAGGGGGGGGCGATGGGATGGCATGACAGGTGTGGCCCATTGAGCGGATGGGGTGGGGTGAAGAGGAACATCTGCATCCGCACGGGACAACTTGGCAGTGACGACAGGCTGCAAGCCAATGCAAGGTAAGCCAATGCAATAACAGGCATGCATTCAGTACGAGTACGAGTGCCATCTGCTAAGTAAGACTTCCTCTCTTTCTTGAAGACTTGCACCAAAAACCGGGTGTTCTAACTACGGTCTTTCTGCCTCCTCCGATTCCAGATGCCTCCTTCCACCACCGCCACTCCTTCCATGACGGACGGCGTCCATCTGAGCTGCCCCTGCTGGAGGTGGGTTTCTCCCACAAGTGCCGGATGAAATCCAGCTGACTCTTACAGGTCTTTTCAGCCTCTGAGCAGCAGAACTGGCGCAGGCTAGTAAGAGAGCTTCCAGGTATGTACATAGATGGTCAGGTGGGGTAAGCATGAGTCACACATCAGCTCTGGGGAACTCAAGGCTTATACGTTTGATCCGCTGGCTTATCGCTTAAAACTTAGACTCAAACTCCAATGATGAGAATCAACTGCTGGCAAAACATGGATCACATCCCACCTTTTTCTCTTGATCCTGGAGAGCCTTGGTCTTAAAGTCCTCAGTTGTGTGTGTGTGTGTGCGCGCAGAATGTTCTGTGCAGCAAGCACAGATCATGGGATGGCGTTGTCTCTGGAAACAATGCCGTATCTGAGCGTCAGACTGCCCATTCCTATTTGATCCAATGATTGATATACAGTAAGAAGAACATCGAAGAACCGCCTGTCTTCCAAGTGAGCCGATTCTTCCATCATCGATATCGGAAGAACCAACACAGGCGTGTTGTTTAGCACATCACATCATTTGGTCAATCATTCTCTTGACAAAGCTACATCTCCAAACTGGCTATCTAGGCCCATCTAGGGCGTGTGGCGAACTCTCCCCCTTGAGCTACGGGCCTCCTGCGAATCTCCTCTATATATGGCTGTGGGTTAAAACTTGGAGCCCCGTTTTCACCCTGGGTGGGTTCCCCATGCCTGGGGGGCGGCCACGAACGGCTGGACCCGTCGTCTCTCCGACAACCACAGGCCTTTCCCAATCACTGACCGAAGCCCGGTCAGCCATGGCGCCGCACGAACGGGGTTTGGGCTCATCACCCTCGAACACCTACGCTCCAATCTTCACTTGATCAACATGCCTTGACCAGGAAGTCGCTTCCGGTGAGATCGCCACCGACCTCGCCACCGACCTCGGCCGTCATTCCCGGAATCACTGAGCACCCAGGCTGGAGACTCTTCGAAGAGCTTCTGCTGGCAGTCCATCCACTTCCGACCTGGGCCCATGTGCCGGCGGGTGCGAGAGAAGGGGTGTCGAGCCCTCCAATTTCGGAGGGACGGATTGGCGGGAGAGGTTCCAAAGGTGGAGGGCCAAATCGAACGGAAGAAGAGTTCTCTTCACATAGTAGGCACATAGCCTACATCATGTTCATAGACGGTGCCACTTTGCCCAACCCTGCGACTAAGCTGAGAACTTTCCTTGTCGATGGATTGTGGCTTTTCAGCCACCACATGGTGGCCAGCATCCTTCTGCCCCTTCCTCCAACGATTGGCCTCACACATGGCCATCAGTTGAAAGGCAAAATAATGAAAGGCAACAAAACAAACGAAAAACATGACTTTGCAAAAACTATCAAAAACTGAAACCACCTGACTCTGCAAAAACCACAGGGTCTCAAGAAAGAAAAGACGTCTCAACAGGATTCACGACGACTTGTCAGCCCTGCCAGGACTTTCAGGGGCAAGCCATGTGTCCGCGTCCGTCGAAGGCCGCGTACAGCCCGCACAGCCCGAGGTTCCGACCACCTTGATGGGAGGATAAATACCTCCAGTTTGAACCGGAGCCGGAGATTTGGAGCGGAGATCCTTTTCTCACCTTGGACCTTGGCCTTTCTCACATTGAGCCATCACGTCTGTTCATGGGATTTTTCTCCCCTCTATCTGTGGTGGCACTCTGAAATTGGAATGATTGCAACTCGCTGGAATCAATTCGGCCAAACTGCTTCCTGAACCCTCCACCTTCAACATCCACACAGGGGCCATTGTATGCTGCATCCACCAATGGGGTGGACACAGCCAGGACCCGGTCCAAATGGATCCTTTTGGGCTCCCGTTTCGGAAGCCCAAAGCGTTTGCAGCCATGAGATGTGGCCATTGTATAACCGTCACCCCCCTGTTGATTCCACTCCTGGCCTGAGCGGTATGCCGCGTGTTCCGCTCGGAACGGCCCGTGTGTTCCGCTCGTGCCACCCCGTGAATTCCATCTCGTTCCGGCCGCTCGGACTGATGTACGAGTGTGAATGTATAGCTGACCAAAGGGGCCACAAAGCATCAAAATGCTGGTTTTCCCTCGAAAAAAACAATGGGTTTTGTATGTGTTGTTCATGGTTTTTGAGGGGCAAATCCATTTGTATAGCGGAGTTACCATGAGTTGCCTGATGGCTTTCAAACCAAAGTGGTTTATGATGTGTTGGATCTCTTGAACATGTTTCTTAATGATGTCCAACTAAATCAAACTAATGTCCTACTAGCCCCAGGACTGGTGTATTCACTTCGATGTAAATCTGAGGTTCCTGCAGCCACCTACCAGTGTCGCCCCCGTGTCGGACGCTGGCATCGGGCTCCCGCGCGCAAATGCTTCGGCCCCGTCATTTGCGTCCGCTCGGGCACCTTCCCCTGAGCCCAGCGATGTGAGCTGTCCGGAGAGAGGTTCCAAGGGCGGTGTCAAGAACGGGTGCCGGCGGAGCTCATGTTCCTGGCCTTTTGTTGGGGATGGTTGGAGAGGATGGATATCTTTGGGGGAAGCTCCCCGAAGATTGCGACACGTCCTGAGAGGGAAAAAACATCGCCTTCCGCTGCCATCAGTGCAGCCCTGCAGGCCGTGCGCCTTGTTCATCTCCCGGATTTGCAGCATCTGGAGTTTATCGAGTTCCTCAGACACGCCATGCAAAGGCCAATCAGCCTCCATCTCTCTTGTTGGGTTTGGTCATGCAACTAGCATGAAGTGAGTGTCGGGTTCTGTGCATTTGCATGCGCTCGCATTTGGGTCCTTTGCTGGTATCCTTTATGTACCTGCTTCTTACTGTTGCCATCACTGGTACAACCAAGTGCTGTCATCATTGCCAAATTTTAAAGAGTCCGGTGCGGTTCCACTTCCAAACCACAAGTCCCGCACAAAACCCCCATAATGTCTCCAGGGAGATGGAAGGTAGAGAAGAATGGTGCAAAAATACCGCCGCTCTGGGCTCTGGACCCCCCAAGAAGATCTCTCCAGAAACTTGAGCAGTGGCACCAAATCACGACAATTTCCAGATTTCACATGCATACGCACCATCGCAACATCCCACATCCACAGGGGAATTCGATGGGACTCCTCTCACCCCGCCTCTCAGTGCCGTCCCACCTCGGGCTCCCCAGCGTCAGGCTCAAAGCCCAGGCGCCCCGACCTCCGACCGATGGAGATAAGACGGGGGACGAGACAGGGGGCGGAGCGGCGGATCTCAGAAATCTTTGGTGAAGATATACTGAGGACCAATGACTTAGGGCTTGTTGGTACCACGGTAGTGTATATTTCTCCACCAAAAAATCATGCGATGGGGAGACGAATGGTGAGATACGCGCACAATAGAGAGAGAGAGAGAGATGAGAGTTGGGTAACTTGGTTTAGATGAACAGTTGTTCATGTGCTATGATTAGAGCCGGTTTGGGCTAAAAGAACTGGATTCCACGTTTCACGCCGTTTCGACAGAAACATCTTCATATATGCCTTTGCAGCCAGGCCTTCCGTGCCCAGGCCTTCCAAGTCTCAGCTCGGGCCTGTCCTCTCCGGTGAGCGTGTACCATATATATATATATATGCCTACGGCAAGAAAACTAGAGTAGTTACCGAATGTTACCGAGCAATCAGCGCTAGTGATACAGTGAACCCCAAGGTTATCAAAATTTTTGGCTCCCTTTTCCTACATCAGGCACCCCGTACTGTACCTCCTCCAACATGCAGCTATCAAGGGATACATGTGCCAAGCTGGTGGTCGACCTAGTATATAACTGTAGTGAACCAGCGGAGGGGGGACGGCCTGCGCCATTCTCTGCCACCTTAACATTTGGCATGCACACCACTTGCACTAATCACTCCCGAAGCTGCACGCATGAGAAAAAACAACCAACCCGCGAACCGAAGCTATCTGAAGCTTATTATGCCAAGATCCGGCGTCCCATCCTTCATACCTCCCGGTGCCAAGCATCTGCTCTTCCACGTCAAGTCAGCTGAGACTCCCAACCCACTGGAGCCCCAGGCATAGACCAACGGCCTCGGATGTGCATGTAAATGACTGGACACGACCCGGAACCGGCAAATGAGCAAGGGCCGCACAGGGAAACGAAAAACATAGAAGGGGAGCGAAGGAAAGCATGGAAACCGCCTCGGTTGTCCCAAAGGATATGTTCAATTTGAAATTGTTTCTCTATTTGAACTGGTTGGGTGTTCAAATTTGGGCACGCTTGGCTTTCAAACGTCATCAAACATATTAACCCATAGTCTCTCCACAATAAGCGCCGTTTTCAATACTGACGGCAAGCATGGGCGAGATTGAAAATCAAAACCGTGACCATCGTTGCTCATGTGTATATATATATATATATCAGATCGAGATGGGGTTAACATTTTTCACCCCAAAAGGATAATATAACCAATGTCTTGCGTTTGTTTGCCTCTCCTCCTCTTCGAATCACTCTGATCGCACTCCAAACGACAGGCATCCATTGGCTTGGCGGCACTGGCACTCGAAGCCCCTTTTTGACCGGCGTGAAACACGCCTCATATCTGCATGGATTCCTGTGCATCAGCACAAATTTTGGGACACTACTAAGCATCTGGGCAGCTACCGCACAGAACCTCCAAAGGCACAGCGTTGGGTGGGGCCTTTGTTTTAGCCATCCATTGGGTCGCGCTGTCTTGACGATCTCCAAGGGCTTTTCAACACAAAATCCATTTCTCGCTGCAGCCCCGAAATCCAGAAATCAAGGTCTAAAGTCTAAAATAGTTTTGGCCCGGGGTACTTTCTGAGTTTGAAACCCAATTTCCCTGAGGCAGAGCCTGAGTGGAACCACCAGGGTAACCACCAACCTTGCCACCAGCCGCCGCATGTTGAGATCCATTCGCTGTCACTTCATCTCCCATCAGTCACCTGGTTGATGCTTTCCAAAGCATCAACTCAATCCAAAGTCTTTGTCCAGTCAGTTCAATCATTCTAGGTGAAGGTAGAAAAACAAAAGTACTGTATCTGAAAACCAGCACCCAGTCACTGGATTCTGAGGATGAGGTGCTCGCCCGAGTCAGTGGACACCACCTCCGAGAGCTCTCCAACCTTGAGAGCGAAGGAGGCCTCCTCGAAGGCTTTCTGCATCCTGCGGTGTCCCAAAACCCACGGGGACTTCAAAAGGACACGCCAAGAGAGGTTGAACAGCCTCATAGCCCATCCCATATGTACCACTAATCCCGAGTTCCTATTAATAAACACTCCCCAATTAAAAAACACCACGTCCGAACCCCTAAGTTCGGTTTATATTTGGCTTTAAATTGCCGCCCTTTCAAGCCGCTACTAAACTACCAACATGGTCGATTTTGGGGGTAGTTTTTTTAAATTAGGTTCCCCAAAAACAACCGTAACTGCCCACCTCTGTCCGCCCTGTCTATCCACCATGACACGCCGCGCTTACACCAGCAGGCTTTCCTTCCCCCAATGGCACGGACTCACGCAAACGCACTTGCCACCGAGGTCATGCAACACCGCATGGCACAGCGACATCACCTTTCGAAAGCTTTAGCTGTTAGTCTACTGAAGAATAACTATTCTAATGAAGGTTTTTGTAGGGGAAAAGGAAGACCCTTCGATCTGGAGCTTTTTTGCATTTTTGATACGAGTTTAATAAAGGATTTTATATAAAGCTTTACGGATTTACTTTTTGGTTTTGAAGCTCTTCCCAGGTGACCCTATTTTGGACCCCCCGATTTCAGGGACCCTATTAGAAAAAATGCGACCGAGGTTTTTTTAATAGGGGGGGCCCCGTGTTTATTAATAGGAGGATGGGATTACAGGGTCCTAGTTCAGGTCTCTCAACCTCGCGAGTGAAAACGAGTGAAACACCCCCCTATGATTGGAAACACCTTCTGCCGCCAGCGGTCTGCATGGTATATAGGTCTTTCCCTCCCTCCAGCAACACCAAACGCGGTCTGGCTCTGCCGTTCGCCGAGTGTCTTGAAAAGGAAGCAACCAAATCGGCTTCGGAGAGTGAAGAAGGCTTTTGGAGAGTGCCCTGTGCCGTGCTCTACCGTGCTGTGCCGTGCTCACCTGCCCCCCAGCTCCCCTTCTCCGCGCCTTCCGCGCCCAAAGAGGCCCAGGTCGCCGCCCTTCTTGGCCGACCCGCAATCCGAGTGCTCTCGCGCCAGGGCCTCGAACTTCTCCCTCATCGACGTGGGGTCGAACCTCTGGGCCGCGACGTGACGTGGCGGTGGCGCGTGCGGAGAGGGAGGAATAGACTATTAGTAGGCTGAGAGTGGTGTGTCATGGGGTTGAGATGGGTTTGATGTTCCAAACAGCAACGGGAGGTTGAACACCTGAACGATGTGAGGCCGATGTGAAGCAAGGACTGACACCTGCATGGTGCGAACGGTGGGTATGTGACGATGAACCCAACACAACCAATGCCATTTGACCGTTTCTACCACCCACAGGAGTTGGGTGGTGAATGGACACCCCGAATCACAGCATTTAGGGGCTAGGGTGTCCTGGTACATGTTTCTACCTGTTTCTAAAGTCAAGGAAGAACATCGGCAGAAGGTCATGGCATTCTGCATTGCAGGACTGCTGGGATGGCTTTGCCTGTCAGCAGCACCCCAACAAGCTCCTCGTGCAAACTCCGTTCGCACTTGCCCACGCGTCTCGACATCAGCGTGCCGTGCACATCCGCTCACCCTGCAGCCGAAGTGCTTTTCTAAGTCGGACTTCAAGTCTTGAAGGAAGGAGGCCGCCTCTAACTTGGAGCAAGTGATCTTCTCTTGGCGCCAAGACCTTGGGAAGACAGACCAACGACCATCACCGACCCGAACCCGGCTGAGCTGAAGCGACGGATCTTCGGTCAAAGTCAGCGTTGGATTCTCCAGCTCAATTTGAAGAAGGCCGTGCCTGTCAGCCTACCCAAACCAAGCCCTCCAAAAGCACGATGGCGTGTCTAAGTGATGAACCTAAAAACAAGGGTCATGTCGCTATTGTATATAGTATAGTGGCCTGGGGTTGGGGCGACTTGACACATTTGCAAGCTTTTCCACGGGCCAATGATTAGCACTCAAAAGATTGGTAACGCCTTCCAAACTCTGGGTACTGATTTGTTCGCCTTGTTCAACACGACTGATGCTGCTGCTGCCGCTGACGATTTCACTATGTTGTGAAAGTCTTGCATTGTCATTCGAAAAAAGAAACAACCGTCACTGCATCCCCCACCCCAAACGGATGCGGAGTGTTGCGGGTTTCGCTTTGGATGAAAGCCGTGAAACAAATGATGAAAGCCGTGGAACGTCTGATGCATGTTGTGCAACGTGCGGAAAATGTTGTGGAACGGATGATGAATCTTAGTGGAATGCGTGGGTCATCTTGTGGAACAGATGAGGAAAGGTTGTGAAACGCATGGACGGTGTTGCGATTGTATAAGCAGCTAGCTCAGCTAGCCATTGAAAAGTTTCGGAGACGTTGGGCCCCCCAATGGCCCCTTTGGGGCACACAAAGATATATATATGATAACATATGCCACACGGATTTATGATTTATGTATAAAACGCGTCTAGAACACGTTCGGCTGCGAATGGCGACGTGAATCAAAAACAAGCATCACCATTCCCAAGATCTCATGCACATCCTTGTGAAGGGGTCAGGAATCCCGAGGAACTTGCGGCATCTTCATCAAGCGGCGGTTACTCTCCCCAAATGGCTGCAAACATGCAGAAAACACATCCCGTCACATCCCCCCCCAAATGTACTTCATGAAAACCTGGTGTCCAAAACCTTTTTGGTGCCCATGTAAAGCATATGATTATGTGACTTATGTGTGACTCACTCCGTTACTCCTCTTTTCTTCAATGCCCCACAAGTCTCCGAATCCAGACTCACAAGTCCTCGACTTAGTCCCTCCAAGGCTCGAGGGTCTCCGGGACCCGCTGTGCTTTCGGATGATGTGGAGCACCTGCACCTCCTGCAGCAAGAAGAGCGGCCGGCGGCTAATCCGCAGGACATGGGGGCGGATCGATGAGCGGTGGCATCGTGGAAGATGGGATTGTCATGAGGTGGTTGAAACATGTTGAAACCACCTCACCTGGCCCTTGGTGGGTGTTGTTTATTGTTTTTTCTTGGAAGGGGGATCATGCTTGATGATGCTGGAACTGCGTGGACCACCGTCGACATCGGTCCGGTGAGGTGGCCGGATGAGCAAGTCTCAGCACTGTGCACCGTGTTCACCTGGCACTTTCTTCATCCTGAAGCCGCTTCAGCCCCTCTTGCCGGTCCAAAGGGTGTGATGCCCCGAGCTGAGTCATTGAGTCTTGCCCCCAAGATGAAGGGGACGAAAATCACGTCATTATGGACTCATCCTGATTCCTCGTGCATCTTGGTGGTTCTGGCACAGCCAGGGCATCCGAGGGCGTCTTTCTGTGCGTTGGGATGCTTTCGGGGTCGAAGAGGCATTGGAAACCTCTGAGGTAATCCATGGTAAACCCTTGCGGTCAAGCAGGATCAAATGGCACTGCCAAACCCAAGAACCGGCTTCCCTTTCGGCCGGAGGTTCCTCGGCTCCGCCCGTCTTGGGCTTCTTGGCTGGGGGCGCATCATCCCCGGTGGTCTCTTCGCCACAGGAATGGATGGTGACCTTCTTACTGGTCTTCCCACTGCCTCGGCCGGAAAAGACCAATGACCAGCTTCACCGTTCTCTTCAGGACATGGTACAGCGGGTATCTGGCCATCTCTTTCAATACATGGAGCTTGTGAGCGGCTGATGGAATACTTGAAAAAACTGCGCCAAGTGGTCAAAAGGATTGGCTGGGACATCAGCACCCACCCAGGGCTGCAGGAAACGCTGTCAAATCTTTGCCAGGATGGCTCTAGGACTCTAGGAGAGGATTAGGTTCTTCAGCCCCCTGCCGTACACACATGCGAAAGTTGGGCCTTCTAGCCTCAGTTAGTCAGTTCGTCCTATGACTTGGATCACCTCACTGAGACGTCAAGGGCGTGGAAACCAACCATGGCTTGGATGGTATGGGATCACC